TTTCTATATTGTTCTTTGGTGTGCGATCTCTGTGGCGTGTAAATAGTCCACTTAAAAAAATTAGCAAACTGTATTGCCGGATCTAAAATAGCCAAGATGAAGGATTAATGTGTTAAAACAGAGCAGGTATTCACATAAAGAATATATGCTAAACGGAAAGAGATTTATCAAGCTTTAACTGGGTGAACCATTGTGGAAAAAATGAATAAATTAGACTCAGTGACAATTGTGCCGATCTTGTGACAAAAGAAAATTCGTTTGGAATTACAAGATTTATTATTATACATCCCATAGGGAAAATTAAAAAGTTGCCCGAGGACAGCATAATCCCATTTCTGTTCTTTCGTGTCTCTAAAACTGGTCCTGCGGTCCTTGGGAATGCTAAAACTCCCTTTAAGTTCCCACAGGGATTCAGGGACATTCCTTTATTCATGTTGTGCCTGGAACGTTTGCGGTATGTCAGCTGAATCAGCTCGTGGCGATTAATTCGGAAAAAAGGGAAGAATTTGGAAAAACCGCAAACTAATTAAAAAAAGAATATAAAACCGATGTTTTTAACTGGGTATTTATCCGGATCGTTTTTTAATGGAAAAAATTTCCAAAAATTCTTAATTTTTTAAACTATGGTTTTGGGTATATGTAGATTAATATCTATGTAAACGCCTCGTAGCGGCATTTTTCAGATTAGTAATATCGAAGTAATTCACTATACATGATCTCGATCAAGGAAGACAATGAAGATTCTGTCCTGGTTTGATGAATGGAGACTTCGGTGGATCGACGCACCTGCATCCTGCTGTGTGAGGAACACCTGCCTCCTCACAACTGATTTCAGAACTGGCTGGTATGAAAGGAAATTGAAAGCCCTAGATCTACATGACAACAAAAAACGTTTTCGAAACCCCTCGAAAATGATTGAACAACAAACATTTTGATAGACATCGTGAAAGCATTGAGCAACAAATATTTTAATAGAGATGTGGACATTACGAATCGAAATAATTAAATAAACATCATTAACAAACTGAATTATTAATAAACATGTTAAATTAACATAATCAAAAAGGAAAGAGAGAAAGAGAGAGAGTGAGAGAGAGAGAGAGAGAGAGAGAGAGAGAGAAAGAGAGAGAGAGAGAGAAAGCGACAGAGACTCAGAGAGAGAATGAGAGGAGGAAGGGTGAGAAAGAAAGGGACATGGAGAGAGAGAGAAATAGAAATAGGCAGATAGAAAAAGAAACATACAAATAGGTCAGAAACATCATTAACAAACTGAATTAATAATAAACATGTTAAATTAACATAATTAAAAAGGAAAGAGAGAAATAGAGAGAGAGGGAGAGAGAGAGTGAGAGAGAAAACGACAGAGAGANAATAAAAATGCTTAAAGATTGGTCCTAAATTCTTCTAGAGCCGGTTAAAATTTGATTCAAATACAATATATCACCGACTTAACAGCCCTCGCGCTCAACTAATTGACAAAAGCAACTTGAAACTGTGAAGCGCGTTGGTTGCCATGGATTAAGCCTCAAAGGGTTCGATGTTTAAGTTGAGATTTATTTTGGTCGGATGTAATTAACGTCTCCAGCGACAACCTTCGCCTAAACTTGCCACCTATCCAAATCCCGCGCCGTCGAACTCGAAAATGTCACCAGAAAATGGAGTTAGATTGCGGAGTTTGATTATTTGTTCAGTTAGCGTACCAGCAAAACCTGTCGAAGGCGTTCATAACAAAAATCAATTGATACATTTACTTGGAAAAATTGAGTTGACTATGAACGTTTCTGAGTTTGCTGACACCAACAAGAACAAGCGAATCATTGAAACATTGGATCATTATCGATCCTATTTCAGTGAGATGTTTATATGCGGTGACGATTTTCGAACATAGATGACAGTTATTAAATGAAAACACCAACAAGAAAGACACTCGTTTAATTTGCTGACTATTGAGACCCTCAAATTTACGCTTGTCCTAAGCTGATGACACTCAGGTTTAACATTATTCACCTAGGATAAGAAAATAATAAGCAAGAAATTGTAGGAACTTTTGAGTTTCTCTTAAAATGGTCCATGAAATCGGGTTTATTTTATGAAACTCACTATTCTTCCAGAGTTGGTAAAAGTTGTCGCTCAGAAGGGGACATGTTCGTCTCAAAATACATACTATTTTAATTTAAATAAAAACAATAACTGATTGATTTCAAACCTTACTTTGCAAGTAGATTTTAAAAAAATGTCATGTAAAAACAAAGTTGTTATTCGTATTTTGAAAACCGTATTTTTTGTGAATAGAAAAAACGTGATAGCTTTGAAACAAATTTACAGGAGTTTAGAACCCTATAAACTACACGTGAGGGCAAAACCCGGTCTTTTTACAAAAAATAAGAATCGAAGATATAAAATAAAACGTTTCAGGAGGTGTTTTTACGGGTCTTTGCAAGCGCAGAGGTCATATCAACGCCCGGGACGCCGGTAGTTTTGAAAAAAAGCCCATTTGTAAGAAAGTCGGTTTCGGACATAGGGCTGCTAGATTTGAACCCTCCCTGTACCTTACAGTGATGAGCGCCGTTAACGCCTTAACCGGTGCTACTACCTACGCCCCAGAGGTGTTTGTTGATTTCAACCTCATTTTTTAAGGTATATAATGACATAAAAGCGAAAAAAAACCTTGTTGGCATAAGAGGAAAGAGAAAATATATACCTTTCCAAGGGTTGAAATACAGTTGAATTTATGAATTTAGAAGTGGAAAACCAAACATCTGCGAACGCCTCCCGGCTATCCAACCTATATATTTTTCATTGGTTCGAAAATTCGTATAAAGGGGTTTAACGTTTGCTTCAAACGAATTTAAATTTTTTGTGTATACTTTAATAGAAGCGTCTTTTGGGCTTTCTGACTGTTTAATACGATCCTGCATATCTATTTTTATTTATACATCATAAAAAAACTCTAGTGATATATCATAATCTTGAAATGTAAGCTAAGAAAGGCAGAAAATCATATTAATAAATATGTACGTTAATATATACATTAATAACCGTTTTTAATTTCTCAGTTCCTAGGCGAGAATAACACGCCGTTATAATTTTCGATCTAGTATTTACTTATTAATAAAATTCAAATGCTGGCAGAAGGCTTTTTACAGAAATCTTCGTTCAAAGTGGTAGATATTTCTTAATTTATGGTACAAAGGGAAAGTGATATAAGTGGAAAATCGTAACTTTGGGGAAATCGTCATTAAAGGTTTAAATTTTTTTCCCAAAACCATGTGGAGGTAAAAATCTCAAAGGAATACTCTGATTCGCTCAACATCAACAAATCTTCCTGAAGTGGTTTTTCTCCATGTACTTAATTCGATTTTAACCATTTTTGACTTATCCCAGGAACCACAGGTATATATGTCGAATTATCAGGTTTATTTTAGATATAAAGTTAGTTGTAGACTTATGTTTTTTAAGAGAAAAGAAAAACAACAATAATTCGTAAAATAAGTAACAGTAACGTGACAAATATGTTTAAAAACAATTTCATTGAAGTCGGTGCTCCCACGTCCGTAGCATTTCCTATGGTAAGTTTTTTTGTCATAAAAGCCTATTTTTACTTTTTGCGATTAGCTAAACGGATGGTTTTCAGTAGTTAAATCTTTATGCTGAATTTAAAGTTTCAAATTTGTATTTTAAGTATTGTATAAATTATATATTTCTCTGATATTATGTTATATTGAACCGTGTGGTGATTAGTGACCTTTAATCGATAATTATTCAGAAATCGTAAGATGCGGTCTGGTGTGATGTAGATTTCAGAAAAACATTTTCTTTATCGTGCCAACGTTTCGATCTTTATTCAGATCATCTTCAGGGCCTTGTGATGTCTGCATTTCAGCAAAAAAGTTCTCTGGTTGGTAGCCGATGCGAGTTTCTTCTCATTGTTGGCAATGTCCTTCAGAATAATTTTAGCTGCGTGTCCATATGTAGTTGAAATTTGTTCATAGAATCTCATGTTCTTCCTTCTCGTGTAGAAATGTGTGGTGATTAGTGACCGTTAATCGATAATTATTCAGAAATCGTGAGATACGGTCTGGTATGATGTAGGTTTCAGAAAAACTGAATTTCTGAATAATTATATTGAACTATACGTCCTCCAAATCAGTTCAAGCTTTACAATTCGGTTAGCTTTTCTCAACAGTTTTATGTCCTTAAACACCATTTTTTTCATATAACAAATTGTTGTAATTAGCAAACCATTTGTTACAAAATGGTCAAAAAGTGATGTCTGATTCTTCAGGTTTGTGGGACGAGTAAAACATGACAAAAATCCTGCAAAAAGTGTGTCTATTATTTTGTATTCATTGCAACATAGACCATTATTTGGCTAAACTCAACAAGCGTTGTTTTTATGTTTTTGGCTTAACTTCCATTTATCAAGTCACTTGGTATAGGCTTAAACGAATTGCTCGTTTAAATTCTTTGAAATGTGTATCAAACAAACATCCAGTTCATCCTACAATGTTATTGCTTTATAAACCAATTTGAAAGTTTTCCTCCAAGTGGACCGAAATATGTACCAATTATTGTTGTTGCCGATTATCAACTCGAGAATATAGTTCGAATTTGCGTGTGGAACTAGAATCGGCAAATTATATTTTACAATATCCTTTCTCGTTCTACTTTTGTTAACGTCAGGCAACGAAACCCTGTTCGCCAGTGAAAATTTCATCAAGGGAAAGGTATAAAAGGTCGGAAGACCATGCGAACGTTATGGGAAATGTGCCTGTTTTTCAACTCCCAGCATGATGGATCTCCATCACTCAATTCCCCAGCCATATCTCTAGGGAAATGATTGGCTTATCCATTATTACTTTTGCAGAGCATAAAATTAAATCAAGAGAAAAAATCCCATAGTTTCAAAAAAAGAATTTTGTCAATGGATCTCTCTTTCTTTTTTCTCTTTACCTCTATGTCCCACATACAAATTAATTAATAATTTCCTTTCTTTTCAGGAGCTCATGTTAATCCTTCCATCAGCATTGCCATGGCGTTGACGAGGAATATTTCTATTCTGAGAGGAGTGATGTACGTCGTCGCCCAGTGCGGGGGCGGGATCGCCGGTGCAGCGCTCCTTTATGGGTGAGTCTCATTGTTTTAACGATATTGACTGGGAATCGGAGATCGGTATTTCTGCCCGGGTAAGGCGGATGTAAATAGGGTTGATTAGCCAGTCGAGGATCTGTCGGACGCGTATTTGCGTTGGTGGGAAATGGATCGCTGTTTAGACAAGTGCGTCTTGTCGGAAATACGCAGAGTCAGTTAAACATGTTCACCGTCCAATTAACAGAAGGGCAAGTACTGTTTTACAGTTCAATCGATTCGTGCAGATAAAAAATGAAAAGTGTATAAAATGTCCCTACATCAGTTTTAAAGTTTGAATGAATGTAAATCTGTCAGAAATAAAAGAAGACTTAATTAGCATTCAGTTGGATTAAAAAATACTTGATTTATGGTTTATGCAGAATGATGGAGACATAATTCATAAGATGACACCCTATAATTTATAACTTGTTTGCATTCGTGATAATTCTAAGGGGTGGCGTCCTTAATGCCATCGTGGTGTTGACTGATATCATTTGGGATACGCCTCAGACACAAAGCGGAAGGCATAATGAATTTTTTTGAAAATATCTGTGCTTTGAAAATTAAATGAACAATAATGTGACCCTATTTAAAGACCTACAGTGTTTTAAAACAAAAGTATTCGAGTTAGTGAAATAGATCAAGGTTCTTTCCAAAAATGTATATCATCACAAGTTAAATCTAATAAGTCAATAATTGCAATGTTTTTGACCACCAACGTTTTAATTTTGGATGGGTAGTGCATTCTGCGTTGCCATCAAACTTAGAGGTACAAATACTCTGTTACTGTTTTATTTAAATAACAACGTTATATTTTAGCACGGAGAAAGGTAAAATATAGGCCGAAAGTTTGGCAATTGATAAATATCTCATAGCTGATTGACCTAAGCCCTGATAACTACCCATCCTATATTAATAATAGTCTGCTCAAAGTTCTTTTAAAAAATTCATATCATTACAAGTTAAACCTAATAAGTCAATAACTTGCGATGTTATTGACCACCAACTTTTTAATTTAGGATGTGTAGTTGATAAATAATTCACAATTAATTAACCAAAACCCTGATAAACTGCCCTACCTACATTAATAGATCCATTATATTTCGTGGTCCGTTGACACAAATAACTTTTTTTTTCCACTACCTTCGGCTCAATACGCCGTTGCTCTAATGTTGGTTGAGATGGGGAGTTGGTGTCCGAGTGGATCCAAGTCACAATAGCTCAAGTGGTTAGAGCAGCGGCGTATTGAGCCGAATGTCGTGGGTTCGAATCCCGCTCTTGGCACTAACTTTTTCATTTCAACCAATAACTTACATTAAGATTAATTAATTGAAATTAATAATAGACGTCCACACCGAGATATCGATCTACAGATAATAGCCTAATAAATATGATATATTTAATACGATTCTACAGCTTTCTATTTCTAAGTTCATTGTTATTAACATTTCACATAGATAATATGGCTATAAATATTCCGTTTAAAGGGATTTGGGTAATAAAAATGTAATTTTTCCGACGAGATTTTTACGTTGGTTGTTCACCACCTTACAACGCTGATCCTTATTTATTCCACCCTAATCTTTCCTCCCTTAAGAAAATTCCATCTAAGGTAAAACATGAACGTTATAAATAATAATAAAAATAATTAAAGGATTGAGGTAAATGTGCCTTAAAGGTAAATTTTACAAATGGGTTGAATATTTACACTACTTAAATTGCAATAAATAAAACAAAATAAATTAACTATAAAGACTTTTAACTAAACACTTTTTTTTGGGGGGGGATAATGAATAACCTGATCAGGAAAATTCAATATTTAAGTGTGAGACGGAGATTTCAAAAGGTTCCTAGATGACGTGGGACCGTTGTGAACCTTTGTCCAAACGTTGAAAAGAAACGGCCCTGTCGGTACCAAACTACCACCATTACACGGCAAAAGTCGGAAGAATGGATGACCCATCCTTCTTCACGGTTATGATTAAAAGAAAAAATTACTTTCACATCATATCAATTAACATTGGTATTTAATACGTACAGATAACCCCGGTAGCAGCCGTTATATTAATTATTTATAAGCACGGATTTTCATAGCATGATGGATTTCTTAGCGATTTTTCAGTTCAATTTTTAAACACCAGGCGATTCACATCAAGTCAAATATAGAATTGATACATAATTATTGATCTTTGTTGGAAATATATTGAATACAAGGGTTGAAACACAGAATAAGCAATCTCAATCTCGCGATAAAAAACAAAATAGTTCAGTTTCTAAGTTATTTCCCCAAAACAATAATTATCTCCTTTAAAAGTAGGTTTATCGCTTATATATAGAATATATGGATTTATGTGGGTTGTTCAGATACAAGTTTAGACAAAAAATCTGCGAAAGTTCGACATCAAATTGTCTCTCATTGTAAACTACCACAGATATTATCTGCTCAACCACCATGGTTGATAAAGGGAGAGGTGAAGAACTCCAAGGGCAAATAACCGGAGTTTTCCACTAGGCTTTCTTCCTTTCGATGACAATCCCTCAGCATCTTACCGTAAGATGATAATCCGTCCCACTGTTTCAATTCGATTATTCAAACCTGTTATGAGACTTCTGGTGACAAATCCAACCTAATCCCTTATAATTAGCCCGGGGGTGGGGGAGCGGGCTAATCTCATTTCTAACTAAAGCACTTATTCCCTTCCAAATCGCATCCCAGCTCGTCTGGACTCTTAGCAGTAACTCCCCGTGGTCCTCTTTCCCCTCCGGTAAATAAATAAACCTGCTTTCATTATCCTTCAAGTGCCAACTCATTAACAACTAGTATTATCCCGAGGGGAAAAACCAGAACTGATTAAAATTACAAAGTACGTTTCCTCGGTAGGGGATTTTATTTACAACCTCGTTTACTCCGTGATGAGAAACTCGCGTTTTTCCAGGCGGTGTTTTTCAAAGACAAAAATTAAGACGTTTTAGAACAGAATAATCATAGCGTCTTTTTATGTTATAAGTCTAAAAAACCCCAACAAAACAACAATTTTAAACTTTTAAAATAACCAACTATGAACCTTGCTTGTCGGTTGTGATTTTTTGCTTGTTGGCCTGCAACATAGTGATTACTAATTAGTGATTACACTGGTCCACCTGCGTTTACAGTAATTACAAAACCTACTAAATTACGTCTGTGGTGTTTAGTGACCGTTAGCCAATGATTATTTGGAGATCGTTAGGNGAGCCCCCCTTATCTGGATGTCGGTTCAATCGAAACACATATCGTCGGAGAAAAGGAAATTTTTTAGTTCGAAAAATAAAGCTTTTTGTATTTTCTATTTAAATTTAAAAGGTATTAATTGTGAGATATTGTGGCCTATGTCTATTCCAGTCTCTTTTGCCCTTTTGGGCTGCACTTTAACCCATAAATTGTGAGGTCTACGATGTTGATGAACCTGTAGTTTGGTCCTTTAGATCGCTTGTAGCCACTTAGTGGGCTTTAACCAAAATTATTAGTAAAACTTAAACACGGCACAGCCGGAAAGTATCCGATAGATTGAAACTTAGAAAATAGGTAGATCAAAATGATCAAGAAACGAGTTTTCACACAAACTTTCACTATTGCCCAGTTTTTTCGAAATTCCCTGCTAATTTTTCAAATTGCACTTATGTCTATACATTCATTCTTTAATAAACCAGTCCGGTTTTACTGCTTGTTTCTGCATGATTGCAGTTATCCCGCAAACACGAATTTTCGCTTCATGGCTTGATTCCATGATTAGTTGTGACTGTCGCGACTGTACTGTAAGTCAAACAGGTTCAGGTAGTAATTTATTATTCAAAATGTGCAGAATTTTTCTATATGGCCTAAAAAAATTTGTTTGACCCAAAGGTTGTTGTAACTTTTATCATCACGCGAAAGAATTCTTCTCTCTATATTTTTAAAATTAATATCGTCTTAGATTCTTGGTAGAAGAGTTTAACCCCTTTTAATTAAAGACCAGCTAATTTGAACCGAGGAGAGGGCGTAACCGATAAGCGATGGGGGATCCATTGTTACAAGGAATCCTCTTTAAATCCGAGGGTATTGTACCACTTGAAAACTCTGCCCGAATTAACGGAAGTCCCTTCGGCTCTCTAAATTATGGAGTTTGTTCGGGGGAGAGGGTGCTTTGGAGGATCGCTTTGTTTTGGAGGGCCGCGGTTTTACGACTGGCGCACAGGGATTGAACCTGGCGAACTTGTCCCTATAAAAATCTCCAAACTTCCTTGGCATAGGCTACAGTTTCCTAACAAATGCTGCTTCAAAATAATAGACGAGAACGTTTGGATGGTTATTAATTAAAGCATAATAGTACAATTGTAATAGTAGTAAATAAGTAGTACAAAATTGTACATCGAAGGCTTCAGATTGAAGGCTCAGTCCTTTGATAAATGTGATAATTAACTCCCCAGAGAACGTTATTAACATACTAAACTCAAACAAACAAAGGCACTTCTACTACATCTCACAACATTTAAAAGAGATGGATTAGGAAGCGGATTAAAATAGTTATATTCAAATTCTGGTACAACTAACACAAACATGCCAGAGTTCCCTTTCATTGAACATAAAATTAATACTTTTAAATTTATTTTGGCAAATTACATCCACTTATTGGTTACTATATATCTACTATTCTTTACTATTACTATTTTTACTTTTACTGCTATTTTCCAGTGAACAAGATTTAGCAGGTGTACTGAACTGGAACCACTGTTCGTATTTGTACCACCTTTTGGTTTTTTTATTCGATTCTCTATCTCATTCAGATACCTCAAAATACTGCTCGTACTTTCCGCATTCACTTCGTAAACCTGAACTAATTGAAAAAATTATGTGATTTAGTTTGGTTGTCTCCGAACATTTTGGTTTGTCATACGTACGCAATCGTGTGGAATGTGACTTGTTTGTGTCTGGGAGAGATAAAACGACAGTAGAATGAGTGAGAGACGGTGTTAGTGAGGAA